AACATCTCTCTGGGGGAGAGAGGAATGTAAGTTTCCAAACATTTCTGTCAGTAAAACAAAGGAATATGGTTTAAAAGCTGCAGGGCCTTGGAAAGTAGAAACTACCCACTCTTAAAAGAGGAGAGAACCACAGTATCTGGAGCAGAGGAGCTACTGATGATTACTTATGATGATCATTGATGACTTAGGATGGGAGGGATCCAGCGGGAGAAGGATGCTTGCTTTTTAAAACAGGCTTTCAAAGTTAAAATCACAGCCTCTTGTTTCAAGACAATAGGGCGGTTCAATTGTCCACTCTTGAGTTCAGATTTGATTCATGGGCTTTGTAGTGCTTTTTAGCAAACTGATTTCAATAGCCACTTCTGCAGCATTTCATCAGGGCCACCAAATCCATATCGCCAGTAACCGTGCTCAGAACTGTCTCTAAAATTCTGGAATTCTGGTGTACACCCCCCCCCACACACACACACACAGTCCTCTTTTCAAGCTATGGATCTTACTCTGCAATGTTGGAAGCCAACAATAATGTATAGCTTTTGGAACGAAAAATCATGGTGCATTTCAGCACCCAGCATGAGCAGAATCTTCCTCTCTGTCCCGCTGGCCCTCTCCATTCCTTCCCTTGCCCTTCTGCTGTAGCCATCCATGAGGCCAAACATTGCTCCAGAAGGTTTCCCAGACCGTCAAAGGTGTTTTTAGGATGTAGCAGCTGCACCAAAGGGGAAGCGAAGCCGGCAGATGTGCATTGTTGGTTCCTGCTCTCTATCCCTCTCTTTTTTCTTTCTCTCTCTTTTTAAAAAGAGCAACACAGCACAAAGAGTCTTCAAAAGGCATTTGAAAGAGTGAGGCAAGGTATCGTGCTGAATCTTTCAAAGGCCTTTAAAAGAGCAATACAATGGCATCTCACAAATATCACAGCCTCCCAGGAACAAAGAGCTCATGAGGAATAATGGATCACAGCCCAAGGTAATCTGCTGTCCACGACCGTTTGGTTTTTCAAGAAGTTTCAGAATCCAACTGCTAGCTTTCAAGAGTTCGGGAGCAGAGGGAAACGAATCTTCTTTCCTGACTGATGGTATCTATGGGTGGGTTTACCACAAGGGTCTCAAGAGTCTACCTCAAAGCTCACAGAGATGTAGGTTCTCTCCTCCGTTTCCATTTTCCATTCCGACAAACTATCCTATGCCTAACAGAAGCCACTAGCAAAGTCACTGCTATAACATTTGAGTCAGGAAACAGCCCAGACCAAGTCTTGAACCCCTTCTGGTCTTCTTTTTCCTCTATCATCACAGAAGCAGATTTCTCTTGCAGAATCAGGGTGGGAACGGATGACCGCACCTGTAGCTATGAATGTTTCCAGCGGCTGAGCCTGACCTTCCAAAAAGACCAGGAGCAGGTCTGTATCCAAGGCGGTGGGCTCAGGTGGAAGGAGAAAAAGGTCTCGGTTCTGGGAGAAGCCAACATGGCAGCAGGCAGGCAACTTCCTGTCTGAGTTGGGGGTTGACCGCGATGAGGATGGCGGCTTGAACTGGAGCAAAAAACAGACTGGCCAGGGTGTGGGTCAGTAAGATGCTGGGGTTAGTAAAGTATGGCTCAAACATCATCAAGATGTCTACCATGGTAAGGAAAAGGTAAAAGAAAAAGAAAGTAAGCAAAGCTATGGCTGCTTTGACATGAGCTTTCATTTGGGAATGGGTGAACTGCGGTCCTTGACCCGTCAAGCGGCAAACGTGCCTGAAGAGCGAGGCAACGGTCAGGATGGAGCAGAGGAGGACCAACAAAAGAGGAAGTAAAAAAAGGCCAAGCAGAAGGACAAAGTAAGGAACATTCGCCCTCAGTCTGAGATTTTCGGCCAGGTCTGAAAGCTCGCCTGTTGCATTCCTCTGGCAAACTATAGTAAAGTTCCAGAAAGCAGGGAAGGAAGGGAATAAGGAGATGATCATGGATCCCAGAAGACCCCAAGGGACCCACGCTGAGATCTTCAGCTTGCAGAGGTGGAAGAGGTAGTGGTTGCAGCTCACAATCTTGATGCAAAGGAAGATAGACAGCCAAGCCGTAAACCAACATCGGCACTGGACAGCGAAGGTTTCCCAGACGTACAGAATCCGCACCACAAAAGCACTCTCAAAGACAAAGTTAATTTGCAAATCTAGAATGGTGCAAGCGAGGTTAGATGCACTCAGGCTCAGCAGGATTTGATCTCTGGGAGACAACCTTCTCCGGTGTGCCCACTCGCAGATCATTGCTTTGATCATCAAGCCATTGAGGATGAAACTCAGCAGTATCAAGGCAATGGAGGGAATCAAAAATGGAGGAGAAAGCAGATAATTCATCATCAGTTCCACCAACGTCTGTCCAAGTAGAATGTGCTCTGAAAAAGTCAGGGAATGGGAGGGGAAAGCATAGGTGGATGAACACTTTAAAAACAAGTATTTCAAGGTGAGCAAAAAGCTAGGCAAATTCAATGGGCCTCTCTGATTGCTAGTTTCCATATTACAGTAGGGATGGGATGATGTTTCATGCTGGTTTGTTTTGTGTCTGAACAGGTGTTTGGCACTTTGTAGTGCCCAGAGGAGGCCGGGTGGCTTCCTCTGAGTGCGCGCCCACCAGAGAAGGTGGGGTTGCAAAAACGCTGAACACCTGTTCGGCCACGAAAGGAACTAGAACAAACCATTGAACCAAAACTTCATGCCCATCTCTAGTCCACAGTGTAAGACAAGATACAATTCAAAAGTTGTGAAATTAATTCAATGTTATGACAAGTGGAGTTTTCTTCCTTACTTAACCTCAAGAAAAGCCCCATTCCCTTGTTTTGTCATTTTGCGATCGTCCCTATGGGGAAAAATCGCTTTGTAATGATCGGTACCCTGTTTCGCTTACCGATCATCGCAAAGCGATGATTTTCTAACAGCTGATTGGCGGTTCCAAAATGGCCACTGGGAAGAAAAAATGGCCACCCGCTGTGTTTTCGTGTGGATTCCTCGCTTACCGGGCAGTGAAAATGGCCGTCGTATGGAGGATCTTCGCTTTAAGGTGAGTGTTATGCCCATAGGAATGCATTAAACGGGTTTTAATGCTTTTCTATGAGCTTTTTAAAATCGCATAGTGACGAAATCGCTTTGCAGCGATTTTTGCTGCACAGATTAACGTCGCTATGCGAGGCACCACTGTATATCAAAGCTATCAAACAGGGATGAAAATGCAGGTGGACCTGGAGATCAATCTGGGGTTCTCCAGCTGGGCTTAATCGTAAGTCTGAGGATCTCAAATCATTGGAGAAAGTTGGTATGGTTTAAGGAGATGCCATCCAGAATAACTCTCAGGCGACGCACCTTTCTGAGGAAAAGGACTGCTGGGATGTTTTTACCGTACCAGGAACTGAACATAAAACCATGCAAATGAAGTCAAACTCAAAAGTTTCCATGAAAATCCTTTCCATTAAAATGTCATTTGTAAAGCCCATGTGAATGATTCTAATTTGATGCCTCCTCACCCCTGGGCAGAATTTTCAATACGAGGTGTCTGTGTTGAGAGAGGAATCAAAGACAAAGTCTTATTTTGCCAAAGCCATGAATGCTTCCAATGAAAATGCAAATGACATTTGTCATTTCCCGAAAACAATCCGTTGAAAGGTTTGAATAGGATTTCATGCAACCACCAACTATGTTGACTTCTTCTGCAAATACGGCCCTGCTAGCCAAAGGTCATAAACGCACCATTCTCAGGCCACTAACATGCTCAAATGACCCTTATAAAGCCATTAAGTTCTCCTAGCAGATCAACTGCTGTTCTACGTGCAACCCTTCTCTAGGTATGGGTGACATGCAGTATCTGTTATATTCAAGTCTCAGAAATAACACGTTAGCAATAACGTGTTAATCAGAAATTCGTTGGTTTGCGTCTTCACTCACAAAGGGTAGACACACCATTGCACGTGCAACGAAATATAAATATGTAAGTTTGTTGCTGTAACACTAATGTGTATTCTCTCGTTAGTTTCTGGAAAGAGGAACGTATTCATTGGGGGAGACAGGCCCACTCCAAGCATTTCATAAGATCATAAAAGACAAAATGAAGCAGATGCCCTAAGCAGCAAAAAAAGTAAGAATGACTGTTCAGCAGGAGGCACAGAAATCTGCCTTTGCTTAGCGTCCCAGAAGCTCAGCATCCTGCCTTGCCTGCGACCACAGCAATATTTGTGATTTCTTTTTTCTTTTTAAAAGTTTACTCTTTATCTAACATGACTGGGAGGGACATACTGCTCCAGAGGTGGAATCTGAGCTCATGTCATCTCATCGTTCGGTCCAAGCAGTTCCTTCAAAAAGTAACAGTTTTAAAAAAAAAAAAAAATATCAGAATTCCCTTGTATGAGCAACAAAATGATTTTTAATCTCACGAACGTCAGCAAAATAAATAAATAAATAAATAAATACAACAGTTTGTAAAAAAAATATCAGCAACAAAATTATTTTTAATCTTACGAACGTCAGCAAAATCAATCAATCAATCAATCAATCAATCAATCAATCAAACAATCAATCAATCAATCAATCAATCAATCTAAGGCTTAACAAAAGATTTTCTTTTCCAATAAGCATTTTATTATAATTCTAAGTTCCATTCATCATTTTATATAACTCCTGTGAAAGGGGGTAGCTTTAGTGGCTCTCACACTGTACTTTTATAAAATAAAACTGTGATAAAAGGAAATCAAGTCCCTGTCAGTTTCACAAACGCTCAGTCGCAGGCGTGCTCCAATGCTTTTCCACACCTTTCAACTTTAAAAAGCAATTATCACGAAGATCTGTGTCTATTTCCAATGTCCTTTCCTTTACCAGCAGATTTCCTCAGGCCTCTTAAAAGCACACTGTTTTGTATGTATGCTACTACATCTCAAATACACATTTCTGTATAGAACTTTCTATGATATATATGCATTACAGTACACTGTTTTGGAGATGAGAATTTCTGGCAGAGCTTATATATGACCTCTCCCTGTCCTGATCTATCAGGCAGATGGGGAAATGCAAACCATATCAGGTTCCTTAAAAATACAGACCACATTAAATTCTCTGCCATTGCATAGTGCTTGGGATCTGGAGAGGACGATCATGTTGAGCATACTCAGCTGTGAAGATACAAATGGGGGAAACAGCAGGGTTGCCGTAATCAATAGAAACGTCTGTAGTCCTTTTAACTTCCCTGACAGAGTAATAGTTGTGTCATCAAGAGGAGAAGGCAAGGTCTACACAGCAGAAAGAACCAGGGGGCATCGAAAGGCTGCAGCGTTCGCTTATTACATTTTGAAATAGTTCTCAAAAAGGATCCGATTCGACTTGAGATTCTGGACAAACGTATTCCATCTCTGCAGTGTGTTCTTCTCATTCTGGCTTCGTGCAGGGTTACGAGATAGAGCAGAATCCAGGTTGCATTCCATCTCTGCAGCGTGTTCTTATTCTGGCTTCGTACAGGGTTACGAGATAGAGCAGAATCCAGGTTGTTATCATTCCATGCAGAATGGGCTGGTGTGCATGGGGTCAATCATTCCCTAGCCCTTGTGCAAAAAGGGGGAGGCACGCACGCCCCCTTTCTTGTGAGTTGAAATGCTGTTTTTTCCGAACACAGTGATTTCCAGCTGGTGACAGCTGCAAGCCAGAATTGGTGCAGAGCCCTTTGCTCCCTGAGGTGTTACGCTCCACATTTTATAAGCAGGATTCCGCCTTGAGAGGCTCACTTCCCACATGGAAATCCTTAAACATCTTTTCTCGTGCATGCTTTACCCTGCTTTCTCATTGACTAAATTCTTTGGTGCAAAAGTCTACAAGTACGCACACTGTAACCACTGGCATTTTAAAATGGTCACATGGTTTTATGTCCCTGTATTCCTGCAAAACAGCCTGCACCCCTATTTCTGCATGAACCAATTCAAGTATGAATTGTCCTGAGACTGGGCATGCCCTAGGACTATGGTAAAATCTTCATCTCTTCGCCTTGCAGCTTAGCAAAATGGCAGGTGGAATGGCTGGCTATATATCTGAGGCCAAGCTAGTGACACAATGGTAGGAGGGCTCCAGAATGCCCTTGGGCTTCATTGGAGCATTCAGCTGTCAATAAGCTTCAGTGGAAACCAAGAGGAAGTGATGCAGCAAAAGAACAAAGAACTAGGTCGTTGTTGTTTAGTCATTAAGTCATGTCCGACTCTTCATGACCCCATGGACCAGAGCACGCCAGGCCGTCCTGTCTTCCACTGCCCCCCGGATTTGGGTCAAATTCATGTTGGTTGCTTCGATGACCCTGTCCAACCATCTCGTCCTCTGTCGTCCCCTTCTCCTCCTGAAAGAACTAGGTATGTGTAGCTTAATGAAGAGAAGACTGAGGGGAGACATGATAGCAGTCTTCCAATAGCTGAAGGGATGCCACAGGGAAGAGGGCATCGATTGATTCTCCATAGATCCTGAGGGTAGGACAAGAACCAATGGGTGAAAACTCATCAGAGGGAGAGCCAATCTGGAAAAAAGGAGGAATGTCCTGATGGTGAGATCCATTAAGCAGTGGAACAGCTTCCTTTCCAGTGTTGTGGGTGCCCCATTGCTGGAGGTTTTCAAGAAAAGACTGGACAGCATCTCTCCAGGATAGTATGAGGTCTCCTGCCATGGGCAGGGGGTTGGACTAGAAGACCTCCAAGGTCCCTTCCAACCCTATGATGATTCTTTGATTCTATAAATGCACAGATTAAGATTTGTTTGGTGCCCATCACCCAGAATTCTCCCATCCAGCACGGCAGACAGAGAATGCTGGGATTTTTTTTTTGTCCAAAATGATGTTTCTTTCAGTTCTGGAGTGGGGAGGAGTTTAGGAAGGAGCATTCAGGCATCTCACAATAATTCGCTGTCTACCTAAAATTTTTGCAGGGGGATATACAACATTTAATCCTATATCTAGCACCTCAGTGACACTCTGTAAGCCTCATCAACCATAAGAGTAGGCTTTTAAAAACCTACTTTAAAAATATAGGATATATGTATAAAATACAAAGGATGCACAATTTGAAATTGTAAATCTTTTTTATGCCTCCTATTCTAATAGTCAGGTCCTCAAATCCATATTTTGAATAGGAATGCCCTTTTCTCAGTTGATTTATTTGGTAGCAGAAAGACGTCTAGCAGAATCATTTGATTTCAGCACTATTAGAGATGAACAGCACTCCGTGGTCTTCCTGAATATATTCATTTAAGCGGCTTTTCATCCAGTTATTTGTTCAAGAGCGGGGGCAGCCTATGTGAGGGGTGACCAAATGAGGCACGAAATGCAGCAGTTTGGAAGCTGTTAGATC